TGCTGGTGGACATCTGTGTCTTTCCCTGCTGCTTCAGTGTGGCTGCATTTTGCATCCAGGAGATCAGTAAAGCCTCAAGGTTATCTAATAATATTTTGGAAATGATTAGTAGATATATTAGAAGTCTAAATAACTTAGATACTTCATGCCTTAGAGTGATAATTTCCTGAGTTCATCTTCCAAAGTGCTGAATAGCTCAGTGTTACGCATGCAGCCTCCCTTAAGCAGAGGTGCTTAATTGAACTGCAAAATGAAATGGTTTTGTCTGCTGGTGCAAAATGAAAGTGGTTCCCGATTGTTTTACGCCCAGCAGGGACTGGAGGTGATTTCCAGCAGCTTTCCTAAGGATTTTGCACTGTTGGGAAATAACCTGTTTGGAAATGCTTTTGGATTAGGCTGCCAGATTTATTTATCATTAAAGGGGAAAAAAATGCATAAATGACTTGTGTCTAAACATGTCACAGATCTGGATGACTATAGTAAGCATCAAGAGCAGCCATTCATATCACTATTGTGTACCCGGTGCTTCTTGTCTGCCTAGCGAACATCCATGAATGAAAACTAGAAATGAGTGCTACTTCCTTGGTATCTTGATAAATACTGCTATGTTGCTACTAACCACTTTGTGGTCATAAATCCAAGCAGCTGTTGATTTAGGGGAGGAAAGGGCTGTTACAGTTCAGCTTGGTGCTGGTTACCTGTAGTACTGAGCGGATAACTTCTTGTTGGGGTCTGCGCTGGAGCTTATGCACAGTCCCAGGGGATAAGGTCCACTCAGGACTTGCGATTTGAAGGGAGGTCATTGGCCTTCTGTCTCAAAATAGATGAGTTAACTTTCCAAAATCTACCTCCAGCATGTTCTCAGGGACTAGTTAACTGGAGTGCTGTTGCTGTTGAGCGTGGGCTGGTTTGTGGCATTGGTGCACAGCGAGGGCATCAGTCCTCCTCCCTTCTTGGAGGAACGTGGAGGACTTTGTTGCCCCTTGCTCAGTTCAGACAGTTCCGCCCACAGAAGCGCTTGCTGCCTCCCCTGCCAGCGTGTTAGCCCTGAGGCTCTGGGCACTGCCAGTTAAGCTGGATATTTCGCAAAATCAACTGGGTGTTTGCCAGAGATGAGGGACAAACAAAGCCTGGGGCTGGCCGTGTGGCAGGAACGGGGACAGAGGGCATGGGACAGATATGTGGGGCACGTCAGGAGAAAGGAGGAGGAGACCAAGGAGCTGATCCAAGCAAGATGCCCCTACTCCAAGAAACAGAGACAACGCCAGAGAAACCCCACTGGGATGAGACATGGGGAGTTATCGAACTGGATTCATCCTTGCTTGTAACCTTGGGCAAGGAGCAGAGGAGTCGGGGTTGGCTGTGTCTCGCTGTGGGTGCTGGAGGCCCTAGGGCTCATCCGACCTCCCCTGCCCTTCGCTCTGCTCTTTGGAAACCTGGCTCCAGCACCTGGTGAAAAGTAAAGCTCACCTTATCTCTGCTCAAGTGATAAAGCAGAAGGTAAACCCACTGTGGAGCAGGAGAAAGGAAAGCCAAGGAGAACAACTCAGGGAGCAGATGGGGTGAGGAGGGAGGAGAAAAAAAAACTGACCTGTTGTTGCCTGTGTTTGTATCTTTAGCATGGAGTTGCTACAGTCTTCTGAGAGTCAGTGTTATAGGTTTATGGGGACCCTGTGAGGCCCTGGCGGACAGCATTGTGTGATTAAGTGACTTAGCTCTAAGCAGAACTGCTTAAATAGCAGTGGGGAAAGCTAAAAACAGCCAACGTCTGCTCTTATAAACAAAGTTAAAACATCAAGTTGCTGGCTCTGCTAATTGAGGCAGAACTGTGGCTGAAAGGGAGGAAACAGCAAGTGTCTACACAAGAAGTTCACAAGTTCTTGGCAATAAAAGATGTTTTAACCCTCCCCAAATTCTATCTGAAAGCTCTTACTAATCAGGGCACTACCCAGCTCATCCAGGAGAGACAAGAACAGTGTGGAGGGCTGCAAGTATCAAAGCAGAAGAAACTTCTACCTAAAACCACCCAACCAACCCAAACCTGGGGCCGAGCAGGATGGGAGCTGAAAGGCTCCCGTTCTCCAAGCATAAAATAATATTAAAGTCGTTGCTGTGGGTGGAAATGGCTTTGCTCGCTTCTCCTTTCACCATGGGCTCGGAAGGGCTTCATGGAGCTGAAAGAGTAGCATGTCTGGTGCTCTCGCTGTCGGTTTGGATCATCGTGATGGAATTCTGCCGAACAAAAGCTTGGCCTGGTGGAGATTAGGAATTAGCTCTCGGCTGTGGCCAGACTGAGCCCCTGTCCTGTGCGCTGCGAGTAGGACAAAGGGAAAGGCAGGACCAGAAGTGAGGAGCTTGCTATTGTTTTTGGAAAGTGCTCTCTGCCTTTTCAGAGGGAAATGCTGTGAAATGGAAGATT